GGGGCACGTGGGGTTATGGCTGTGGGGCTGGACACCCTCAGTGGGGCCCAGGTGATCACCCCAGGGCTTGGGGAGAGCAAGAGAGTCAAAAGGGGGTGGGAGGCAAACCAGCCAAAAAGATCAAGGGTCTTCCCTTTCCATGAGATAAATGAAACACGAGGTCCATCAGCCTGCCAGAGCTGGTCCCAGTGTGTGCTTGAGGACTGGGCAGTGGGAGCTGTGGAGTTGGTGCCCCTGTGATGGGACATCAGATTCAGGGGCATGCAGCCACCTGCGTTGTCCAGGCACTGTGTGTGTGAGGGGAGTGTCAGCCCACAGCTGGGCTCCTGTGGCCGGGAGGGGCTCAGCAGATCATCCTGGAAAACCAACCCGGGCCTCGCTGGAAACTCTGTCCTTGTCCCCCTTGTGCCGTGTTCCCGTGGCAGGACCGGGATGTGCGGGAGGGAGCAGACATGCTGATGGTGAAGCCGGGGATGCCCTACCTGGACCTCGTGCGGGATGTCAAGGCTCGGGTGAGCTCCTGCCGGGCAGGGAGAGCACCGGGGAGGGACTGGGGGGCTGTGGCTGTGCGTTTGATGTGCGGGGCTGACCGTGTCCCCGCAGCACCCCACGCACCCGCTGGCCGTGTACCACGTCTCGGGGGAGTTCGCTATGCTGTGGCACGGGGCGCAGGCGGGAGCCTTCGGGCTGGAGGCGGCGGTGCGGGAGGCGATGACGGCCTTCAGGCGGGCAGGTGAGGCTGCACCCCCGTGCCCCCCGCGCGTCCCCCGCCTGTCCCCGGGCCGGCTGCAGCCTCTCGTCTCTCCGCAGGTGCCGACATCATCATCACCTACTTCGCGCCGCAGCTGCTGCGCTGGCTGCGGGAGGAGGCGGCGGGACGGGCCTGAGCGCGGGGCTGCGGCCGCGGGGCGGGAGTGCCGGGCTGGGCGGGATTGCCGGGCTGGGCGGGAATTCCGGGATGGGCGGGAATTCCGGGGGGCGGTGCAGGTGGGTCCCGGCACCGCGAGTACTCCCAGCCCCCGGAACCCGGTGAGCCCCGGGCCCGCCCCGCACCCCCCGAGGGACACCGGTACCCCGCACCCGCCCTCTACGGGACACCCCGTGCACCTTCCCCGGGCCCGGCCCCGCGTGCCCCGCACACCCCCGGTGCGGTGCCGGCTGTGCCCCGTCCCCCCAGCCCGGTCCAGCCCCGGTGCGGTGCCGGCTGTGCCCCAGCCCGGTCCAGCCCCGCTGCGGTGCCGGCTGTGCCCCAGCCCGGTCCAGCCCCGCTGCGGTGCCGGCTGTGCCCCAGCCCGGTCCAGCCCCGGTGCGGTGCCGGCTGTGCCCCAGCCCGGTCCAGCCCCGCTGCGGTGCCGGCTGTGCCCCAGCCCGGTCCAGCCCCGGTGCCCCGCCCGCCGCGGCCGCAGCGCCCGCGGGGGGAGTGTCGCTGCCCGGCCTGGCGGACTTCGCCCCTGGCGCTCGCAGCAGGGTTTTCCGTCCCTGCCGTGTGTCCGTGCGGACCCCAGCGGGGCCCTGAGCCCCCCACGAGGGACACTGCCCCCGGGAGTGAGGTGGACGGAGGGCCGGGGTGCCCGCACCCCTCCGATGTGACCGGCACTGACTCGGTCTCGGAGCGCCTGGCTCTCGCCTGTGTCCCTGGCTGCCCTTGTACCCGAGGCCATGCTCAGGCTGCGCCTGCTGACCTGGGATGTGAAGGACACTCTGCTGCGGCTGCGGCGGCCCGTGGGGCAGAGCTACGCGGCCGAGGCGCGGGCGCAGGGGCTGCAGGTGCAGCCGGAGGCTCTGGGACGGGCGTTCCGGGAGGCCTACGGGGCCCAGAGCCGCCGCTTCCCCAACTACGGCCGGGGGCAGGGGCTCAGCTCCCGGCAGTGGTGGGTGGACGTGGTCAAACAGGCCTTCGTGCTCTCGGGGGTGCAGGACGGTGCAGCCCTGACGGCGCTGGCAGAGAAGCTCTACCGCGACTACTGCAGCTCCCACAACTGGGAGCTGCTGCCCGGGGCCGAGGAGACCCTGAGCCGGTGCCGCCAGCGCGGCTTCCGCATGGGCGTCGTGTCCAACTTCGACAACCGGCTGGAAAACATCCTCTCGCAGTGCAACCTGCGGCACCACTTCGAGTTCGTGCTCACCTCCGAGGCCGCGGGGGTCGCCAAGCCCAACAGGAGGATCTTCGAGGAGGCCCTGCGGCTCGGGGGCGTCCCCCCGGAGCAGGCGGCTCACGTTGGGGATGATTACACCCGGGATTACCGGGCGGCCCGGGCCGTGGGCATGCACAGCTTCCTGCTCCGCACGGCTGGGCACGGCCCGGAGCCCGAGGTGCCCCCTGAGCACGTCCTGCCCACCCTCAGCCACCTCCTGGCCCGGATCGAGAAGGGGTAGCTGCGGTTTGGAGGAGCCCAGCACTGCTGCCGGGTGCTGAACTGGTCCTGATGTTGGATTCCCTGCTGCCAGGGGGCAGGGAACAGCAGCGAGCGGATCAAGCACAGGGAGCCTGCGGAGCAGGAGGGGTGTTCCTGCAATAAAACATATCTGACAGCCAGTGGTGCTGCTGCTTTGTTTCACGGCTCTAAAAACACTCCAGAAGGGGGTGGTGTCAGCAGTGCTGTCTTCCCTTAACGGGGCTGGGAATGGGTCAGGCTCCAGAGGTTCGTTCTGGCAGGTGAGATGGAGGCAGACACTGGGGTTTATCCCTTCTCAGTCACCCTGGGGAGAGGATCAAGAATCCCCCAGTGCAAGTGCAGGTTCAGTCCCAGGGAAGCTCTCAAAGAGAACACTCAGGCTCCCCATCCCAGGGAAGCTCTGCCCAAACAGAGCACTCGGGCCACCCCTGCAGAGGCCCTGCACACCTCAGTGTACCCCAGCCTTGCATCCCCCTCTTCCCAACAGGAGTGGGCAGGAGGTGGCTGCAGGTCTCCCTCTGTAGACTGAACAGTCTGGAGTTGGGCAACTTCACTTAACAAATTGACAATTAAAAAACTTCACTGATTTGGGCAGTGAGAAATAAAGATGACCATTTTAAACCCCTTGCCCTGCTCCCTGGCTCAACTCCAGGCCAACACCTCTCCTTCCTCCTTGCCTTCCATCAGCTCCCTGTGTTTGCACCATGTTAACCTCAACCCCCACTCCCTTTGGTGACCCTCAGGTTTGGCTTCTTTCTGCTGCTCTTTGCTTGCCCCCCTGCTTGGACAGCAGCCACAGCCCCTCAGGGGTGCCCCTGTCCCAGCAGGGGACAACTCCCTGCACTGTCCTGCTCTGCAATGGGGCAGCTCCTCCCAAAAGTGTGTCTCCAGCTGGGTCCCAATCAGAGACTAACGAAATCATTTAGGTTGGAAAAGACCTTTAGGATCAGGTCCAACCATTCCTCCAGCACTACCCAGGCCACCACTTACCCATGTCCCCAAGTGCCACATCCACACACCCTTCAAGCCCCTCCAGGGCTGGCAACTCCACCACTGTCCTGGGCAGCTATGCCAATGCCTGACCACCCTTTCAGTGAAGAAACCTTCCCTAATACCCAACCTGAACCCTCCCAGAGTAGCTTGATGCTGTTTCCTCTTGTCCTGTCACTTGTTACTTGGGAGAACAGACCAAGCCCCACCTGGCTCCACCCTCCTGTCAGGGAGTTGTAGAGCTGTTATTTCCCTTTCCACATGCCTCCTCCCTGCCATCTCTCCATACACACCTCTTACTGTTTGTCCCATTTTTCACAGCCTCTCGCCAGGCTGGAAAGCTGCCCTTGGTCAGGCAGAAATTAAACAATCCACCTAAGAGCAGTTGGCCCAGCCAGGCGTTCCCTGACCCCTCGCCCCAGCACGGCAGACACAGGAGAGGAGAGCTGCTGTAAAACACATGAAGAACAGCTGTAGTGTGAAAGCAGGTGTTGTCTGAACACTGTACACAGCCCATAGCCCTGCCTGGGCTCCTTTCCCCCCAGGGCACAGTGCAGAGCACACACAGTCACACTCAGGCCCTGCTCACTGGACCAGTGAGATGCTCTGGTGTGCCACGGCAAACACGGGGTAGACGGGCTCCGTGAAGGTCTCCCTGTGGGAGAAGAGGATGGTGCAGGAGTCGGGGTCGTAGAAAAGCACCTCTCCCCCCGCAAAGTCAACCAGCACCCCGATCTGGGCCGGGGCCTTGATGAGCTCCACGGGCTGGGGCTGCCCCGCGTGCAGGAACCGGAATTCCCGGTCGTAGCGCGAGAACACCCAGGAGGCAGCATTGAATCCCAGGCGGCCCTCGTTGGCAGAGCCCTTCCTGGGCACGGAGCTGTAGCAAACCCCCAGCTTGTAGGCACAGCTCTGCTCCACGCCCACCTTCCAGGCACACAGCCCAGAGTGGAAAGCTGCAGTGGCCAAGGCGTTGGGCCAGTGGTCAAACCGCTCCGGGCAGTCCAAGTCCACCTTGGCTTTCTTGGGACTGAAGGTCAACGTTCTCCTGTCCTCTGACAGGCTGAGGTGGGGGCTGAGGGTTCTCTCATCGATGTGAATCTCCTGTGAGCCTGAAAGAGAAGCCACACTGTGAGCACAGAGTTGGTAGCCCTCACCTGAACCACATGAAGCAGTTATGGCCATCAGAAACAGAACCACAACCACCCTCTCCTCACACATCACTGCTGGGGACACGTCTGCTCCCAGGGTGCCAGCACAGCCGTTCCCACAGCTTCTTCTCTCAGCCAGGGCCAGAACAAGGCAGAGACTCACCTAAGCCCAGACTCCCCACGCACCTCTACACCCTTGCACGAAGCCCTGGAGAGTCAAAGATGCTGCTCATCTTTACTCTGCCCCTGGCCTGACTTCCCACAAAACAGAACTCAGCAGGTTCAGCTCACCCTGCTTTTGGGAGAGACCCAAACCTCAGTTCCTGTCCCTTCCCACCCCCATGGTGGGCCTGGCTGCTCCTCCCCCAGCAAGGGTGAGCCAAGAGCCTGGCAAGGACAGGGCTGTGAGCAGAAAACCTGCAAAGCAGGTAAAACAGGAACAGGGAGGGATGGAGAGGGCTGGGCAGGGCAATCTCTTTCCTGCTACAAAGCCCCAGTTGTTAATCAACCCACCCTGAGGTGCTGGGAGCAGTGGGGGGAGGTGGCACCAGGCTTAGAGATGAGCACAGCCCTGGCTCAGTCTGGTTCTGCTGTGAAGTCAGGGGCTGCCCAGCTGCACAAACCCAGCCCAGGGTGAGGCAGGCTGGCTGGAGGACCCTGCACCCCATGGGGGTCTGCACCATTTCAGAATCACAGAATCACAGGACCACTAATTTTGGAAAAGACCTCTAAGGTCACGGTGCCCTGCCCTGGCTGCACAGCCCTCCCCGAGACCCCTCAGAGGGTCTGCAGACCCTGTGAGTGCTGAGTAACTGCACGACTGGGTCCCTCCATCCCTAAATTTGTGAAGCAGAGATGAGGCTGATGTCCAGCTGACTCACCTGCTCCCAGTTCCTGACAGTGGCTGCCCCTCCTTGCCTTGCCTTCCCCCACTCTCACTTCATTCATTTTAGGTCTTAAACTGCCACAGAAGCAAGGCTGGAGCAGGGGAGTCAGTCGCTGTCCCAGCCCTGCCACCAGCTCTACCCTGGATGCCCAACCACGCTCTGCTCAGCGCCCAGCACACGGCAGGATGAGGCCCTAAGGAACCAAACCATCCCACTGCACCCTGAGCAGGGTCAGCCCAGAGCCCAGTCTGCTCCAGGGCCCAGGTCACCTCCCTCTGACAGGGAGCAGACCCAGCAGCAGCTCGGGCTGCACCTCCCCAGGTGCTCCCTGGCAGATGCACCGAGGCTGAATTATCCCTTTGCAGGGAAATGCCACACACACTCCCATGTTAGGTGGGAGCTATTGCAGGCAGGAGTGAGCCCAACGAGGAGCTGAAGCCACATCCCCTGCAGCTGCAGCTGCCAGCCTCAGCCCCTTGATTTATTTCCCTGAGCAGCAGCCAAACCCCAGCCGTGCCCTCCACAGCTCCGTGGCCGTGGCTGCCCACGCTGCCCGTGTGCAGGGTGGCTTTCCAGGAAGCCAAAAGCTGCTCTGAATTCATAGAAAAGGGAGCAGTACCAGAAATTATCTTCCTCTGACAGAAGGAGGGCACTAAACCTCGTGTTGTGCAGCACACATCTAACCTAGGGCTGCGTTCCAGTGCTCCAGGACAGGGATCATCCACCCAGGGAAACACTGCCCCAGAGACACCACAGTGGTGGAATTCCAGGGGAGCATCTGAGGGAGGGGGAGCACTGGCAGGGTGACAGCAGAGTAATTCAGATCAGCACACTTTCCCACACACACAGGTGTTTTGTCATGATTAAATCTGCCCTTCAGATTCTCCCATATATTCTGATTAATGATTAAATCAGGAATTCATCTCAGCCCCAAATCTCTTTTCTCTGTGTACTGTACCCATCAGGGTGGCCTTGGGAGGTGAGGGATGCCAGGTTAACACAGTCAACAGCTCTGGTAAGCACATACACGTTGGCTGCAGCACATTTGACTGCTTTGAAAAATCCAAGTTCCCATGAACCCAGATTCCTCCCAAAACTGTGCCAGGAGATTTACATCATCTCTTGGTGTAAGGAAAAAGCTGCCAACCTCACATGTAAGTGATACAGAAGCCTGGATGCCAAGTGAAGACATCAAAGGAATCATGTTTATTTCTGAGAGGGAAATGGAGGCTGTTTTTCCTGCTGCTTTCCAAGTTTTTGAGAGGTTTGGAGCAAGCTGTCAAGGCTGGGAATTTTGTGTTTTCAAGCAAATAAACAAGACAGCCAACTGCTCAACTACCTTTGGGAGAAGGGACCACAAAGTGACACATAACATTACTGTGTCTTAACAAGCTCAGACCGCTGCAGTTAATATTAAATCTCTAAGGTTTGGTCCTGGGTGGACTGTGGACTGAGGAGATCCACAAGGATACAACAGGAATCCTCAGCATGCAAAAATGACACATTAAATATAACCACACACTCAAAAAAAACCCAAACAGAGTGAAATTCCTGTGTAATAAGTGCACCAACACACCCACTACAAGCACTGAATGCCTTAGAGCCATCACATTTTACAAGGATGATATTGGGAGAGGAATCCTTAAAAAAAACATGTCACAACAAAGAGAATTAGGGAAAGGTTTCTTCCTTGACTTTTTGGGTCAGAACATCAGCCAAGAACCTGCTCAACTGATTCTTTCTGGAAGGATTTCTTCATGGAAGGAGTGCTCAGGCATTGGCAGGGGCTGCCCAGGGAGGTGGTGGAGTCTCCATCCCTGGAGGTGTCCAAGGAATGACTGGATGTGACACTCAGTGCTCTGGGCTGGGGGACAAGGTGGGGACTGATCAAAGGTTGGACTCAATGATCTTGGGGGGCTTTTGCAACCTCAGTGATCCTGTGTGACACTGTCAATGCACAACTGCAGGAGCTGGCACAGAATCCCAGACTGGGTTGGGTTGGAAGGGACCTTAAAGATCACCCAGTCCCAACACCCTGCCATGGGCAGGGACACCTTCCATGACTGCCAGCATCCAAAGACTCAAAAGAGGGAAATGAATCACAAAGGGAGAACGACATCAGAGTCCACAGCAGTAGAAACAGATGATGTGGTGCTTGGTAGCACAGATTCTCAAGCAGAAGTGAAAACTACAGGAGCAAGAAAAGGCCAAAGCACAGACCTTGGAGTGGGGCCTGGAAACAGGGAAAAGCTGAAAGCAGCTCATCAGCAAAGTTAATACAAAAACTTTGGGAAAATCACCCCAGGGATTCTTCACAAGGCAACCTGTAAAAGACATTGCCACCTCTGAGAAACAAAACTCACCTTTGAAATGCTCTAGTGATGGCCTGAAAGTCAGAATAAAAGCAAACATTTCACAACCAGCCACCCAAGCACATCACAGCCAGGAGAAAACTGTCTCTCCCTGCTCAACACAGCCAACACCAATCTGCTAAACCCGTACCCAGAGCCTGTCACTGGCCTGGCAAACACCTCCAGTGCAGCCCCAGCTGTACAGAAAGAGCTGAGCCAGAGCACAAACACCCCTAAAAACCACCTGCTCGTGCACAGCCACAATCTCGGCCTGTGAGCAGAAAGCTGCTGCATCTCCTCACTGCTCACTTTGCTGCTCAGAGCATCTCACACACACCCCACAGGTGAACTCACCCTCTTTTAAAATGCCCAGCAACCCAATGCTGAACGTGGTGAAGAGGGATTTCTGTGACAGAGATTCCCCAGCAGAGTCAGCTTCACTGCTGTCACCAAGCCACCCAGGAAACAGCAAAAGAAACCACGTGAGCTTAAGCCACAGAGCTGATAAAACAAAGTGTCTTTTCAAACTCCGGTTCTGCTCTGAGCCACAACCTGCTTGGAGCCCCCAGTGCACCCCCCAAACCTCCCACAGCTGCTGCTCCCCTGGCTGGGGGGTTCCAGGAAACAAGTAGGGGCTGGGAGAGCAGAGGGGCAGGACAGGGCACCAGGTTTTGACACAACATGAGGGTGTTCCTTTGGGCCCAACACGAATGAGGGTGCAGGAATCCCCAGAGCTGGTGAGACACTGACCTGTGAGGCAGCAGAGCACAGCAGAGGCCCACAGTCGGTGCAGGAGTGGACTCTGAACACACATCTGATTAAAGTTTAACTTCAGGGACTCCTGTGGCTCCAAGATTCCCTCCGCCACCTCTGTCCTAGCAAAGGAAAATAAGAGTAATTTCAAAATACAAAGATTTGTTGTGCTGGGAGATGTTTATAAAGATCACTTAGGAGGTATGTCAGAGGTTAAAGAGGAGCTCTGGCTGCAGAGTGACCCCAGAGGGGGTTTCTGAGCCAGCTCTTGCCCTAGGTGATACTTTAAGTGATACTTTCGGTTGGCTTTGCTTACAGTCCCCTGTGAAAGGACTGCAGTGTTGTAAAACACATCCCAACAGCCTGAATCAACAGCTCCTCACTCAGCAGACACAGGGTAAATAAATGTGTCTGAGAGCGGCCATCAAGGTACAAAGGGAGCCCAATGAACAGTGAGAGACTCAGATTTCCCTCTTTATAACAGTTGGAGCCCAGGGGGTGTGGCAGGAGCCGGGTTTCACCCAGCACAGCAAGACACAGACGGTTTGCTGTTCCTGTGGCCTGCAGCACCCACACAGCTCGTGGTTGTGAGGAAAGGCTGTGGCACAGGCTGGTGTTGATATGCTGTGGCACATTCTGTACTCTCTACAGGCACAAATACCCCACCAGCCCTCTGGGCAGCACAGGGCCAGCACCCCCACAGGAGCCAGGGAGACAAAAGGCTGTGAAAACCCAGCCCCCGAGATGCCTCTTGAGGGAAGGGCAGCCCAGTGTCACCCACGGTGCTGTTGGGGACACTGAGGCTGTGCCAGCCACCCCAGCACGGAGCACACCAGCTTCCCACCAGGACCATCCCACCTCCTGCCGACAGCAGGGACAGGCCTGCTCCAACCCCCAGCGAGCCCCGGGGAGTGCTCTAAGGAGCTGGAGAAGTTCTCCTGTAAACAAGGGCTGCTGCTCTGGCGCTGCACATGGAGCATCTCCAGGGGCCAGGCTGCTCCGGAGCAGAGACGGAGTCTCTGTGTCCGAGTCTCTGTGTCCTCTGCACTGTGTTCTCGTCCCCAACAGAAGAGCACGAGGGAGGACAGAGATGTCCTGGGTGCCTGAGCCATGGCACTGCACAGGAGCTGCAGGGAGGCAGGGGAGCCTGGGGCAGGGTCAGGGAAAGGAGCAGGAGCAGCCAGGCACTGACCTCTCGAAGATCTCTCGTTCTGCGCGCTGGGGACAAGGAAAGAAGGAGTCACCAGAGCTGAAATGCCCACAGATCCCAAACACAGGCTGGGCACAGCAAACCCAGGACCCAGGAGCAGTGTTCTCCTTCCTGACCCAGAGAAACCACCCCTCACCCCAACAGCAACCCTGGGGAGCAGGGGGAGCATCCAACATCCATTTTCCTTAGCTGCAGCACTTCCCACCCCTCAACTCAGAAAATGAGTGGGAATGGCTGAGGGCAATACATCCTCTACATCCACTTGGGGCACTGTCTGCTGCCCTCCCTCTGCTCCCACTCCACTAGGGAATGCTGCAGGAACAGCCTGTGCTTCCAGCAAACAACCCCAGGGCTTTCAGCAAGGGGGGTGGTGGCAGAGGAACTAAGTCAAGAGTCAGGTGGTTGGTCCCACTTGTTTCTGTTCCTGCTGGTCACGAGCATTCTCCAGATACAGTAAAGTGGTAGGAAAATATCTGATCCCTGCTCAAATCCGAGCTGCAGGGCAAGCTGCAGGCCTGTGGCATGGCACGTGCTGATTCCTGATAGACACGAGTACCAACACTAGCAATCCAAGTGGAGAACACATGGTCCCTAATTCCCCTCCACCATGTGGCAAAGGGGTCTGGCTGTTCTCTGGCACAGGCAGCTGATGGGTCCTGCTCTCCAGCCTCTACTCTCCACAGTGCAGCCACAGCCCAGCTGAGGTGCTGGGGCAGGACAGACACTGCTTTTCCTACCAAAGGAACATCTGCCCTCTCTCTATGGGGTCGGGTCTGTTTTCCAAGCAGAGCTGCTGCCCTCTTTCTCACAAACCTCCATGTGGGAAGCAGAGGCTGAGCAGAAGCTAAGATGGTGTGGCAGGCCATCCTGCTCCCTTCCAAAACGAGAGGAATCACTTGGGTAAACCCAGACAACTCAGTAACCAGAGAGGGAACTGAGGGAGGGGAAGCACAGGCTGCTCTGCACAGCAAATATCCCAAATAGAGCTGTGCCAGAAGACGGGGGGGACTTTCCAGAAGAGATGCAGGTGCTCCCAAAGCGGTTTTGATTCAAACTACACACAACAGTTGAAAACTGGTGGCACAATGAACTGCTGTAAGAGCAGCTCTCAGCACACAGCTGTCCTGGCTGTCTGGCCTAAGGGCAGCTGCAAGCCAAGAGCTTGGACACCTGAGCGTGGGTGGTTCTGGACCTCACTGCAAGCAAGAGCAGGATCAGACAGAGCAGACGCTCTGGGAACCACTGAGAAACCACGGGGGCTTGTCAGGACCAGGTCAAGGAGGTTCCCTGAGCTAGACCTGCAGATGTAGGTCCTGTCCAGCTCTGCCTCCTTGCTGTCAGCACAGCAGTTGCTGAACACCACATTTAAGTCCCACGGTAAGAGGTCCAGGTGACCTCTGGGCTGACTGACCCATCCCTCAGAACACGGAGCAGTTCTCACCAGCAGGCCCTGGTCATCCAGGTTGGTGATCATGTCCACCAGGTAGGTCCGGAGGGCTCCCAGCTTCTGCAGAGCCTCTGTCCAGTGCACCTGCTGGGTCAGGATGCTCTGGTGTGCCCTCTCCTCCTCCGCGTGCACCCTCTCCAGCAGCCGCTGCTCCTCGTTCTCGCAGGCCTTGCCCACGAAGAGCAGCCTCTGGATCACCAGCTCCCGCGCCGCGTTGGCCGCGCTCTGCCAGGGCAGGGACAGCAGCAACATCAGCCTGGCTGCAGCCCCAGCAAGAGCCCCAGCTGCTCCTGCCGGCTCCCTGTGGGCTCAGCCATCAACACTACTCTGTTAACTGAGCCCAGGCCACAGCAACTGTCATGATACAAGTGCAGGTAAATGGGACAACCAGTCCCAAACCCACCTACAGCCTCCTGGCCTAACTGTGACAACCTGTGAAGGACCAGAGTCCTGTCCCTCAGCAGATCTCCATGGATTCACTACTGGTGAGACACATGAGAACAGCCTGACAGAGCTGGGACTGCTCAGCCTGGAGAAGAGAAGGCTCTGGGAAAACCTTAGAGCCCCTTCCAGTGCCTCAAGAGGCTCCAAGAGAGCTGGAGAGGTGTTTTGGACAAGGGCCTGGAGGGACAGGACAAGGAGAAATGCCTTCCCACTACCAGAGGGCAGGGATAGATGAGATATTGGGAAGGAATTCTCCCCTGTGAGGGTGGGGAGGCCCTGTCACAGGTTGTCCTGAGAAGCTGTGGCTGCCCCATCCCTGGAAGTGTCCAAGGCCAGGTTGGATGGGGCTTGGAGCAACCTGGGCTAGTGGAAGGTGTCCCCGCCCATGGCAGGAGGTTGGAACAAGATGATCTTTAAGGCCCTCCCAACCCAAAACACTCTGTGATTTTATGATTCTATAACTGTCCTTTGCCCTCATCCTCAGTCACAGCAAGGAACAAATAAAAGCAGGAATTGCTGAGACACTGGTCCTAGTGAGATGTCTGGTTGCTATACACTGACACCAAGAAATGTACTGTCCATGTACATTTTTTAGGCAGGTGAGGCAGCAATCACAGGCACACCCTAGAACTCTACTTCTACAGCTGTGGGGTAGGAGAGGACAACCCCTGCACACTGATGAGCCCCCCAGAGCTTGGCATCTCCAATGGGACTGGTGAGCACAGAGCACACGGGGCCAGCTGTGCTGGGAGAGGGGCAGGGATTCACCAGGACAGCCTGGTCCTTGGCAGGGGCAGTGACTCACCAGGACAGCCTGGTCCTTGGCAGGGGCAGGGACTCACCAGCACAGCCTGGTCCTTGGCAGGCAGCACCTCATCCACATGCCGGGCGATGGCCGCGCTCTGCAGCTGGAGCCGCTCGCACCGGTCCACGAGCTTGTCCTGGGACATGGAACAGCAGGTGATGGACACAGGCCTGGACAGGGCCACAGTACCCCAAGCCCCCCACCAGCCTGACCCCACCCAGCCCCACAGCTGTCAGGATCCTCCTGCACCGCCCCGAAGTGAGCCCCTTCCCCACAGGGGACCCCCTACACAGCCCCACAGGGAGCCTCCCCCTCCCCACAGGGGACCCCTCCCATGGCCTCACACCGCACCAGGGTCCCCCACACCCCGCCAAGGACCCGCAGGGTCCCACACCTGCCCAAGGACCCCCAGGTACCCCCATACCTTGTCTGGGACCCCCAGGCACTCACATCCCACCAAGGACCTCCAGAGTCCCACATCCCCTCCACATCCCCTCCACATCCCACCAGTCCCGTCTGGCACCCCCACACTCAGTCAGGGGGCCCCGCAGCCCCACACCCCTCCAGGGCCCCAAAACCCCCCTAGGACTCCCACGGCTCACCAAGGACCCCCAGGGTCCCACTCTCTCCAGGGACCCCCACACTGCCCCACGGACCCACACCCCGTCCAGGACCCCCACACGCCCCCAGAGATCCCCAGGATCCCACACACCCCCCAGGACCCCACACCGCATCCGAGATCCCCACACACCCCTGCAGGGATCTCTGCGGCCCCACACCCCCCAGGGACCCCCCACTCCCTCACGGACCCACAGCCCGTCCGGGACCCCCACACCCTCCCAGGGACTCCCGCTCCCCCCTCAGGAACCCTCACGCCCCGCCGGCCCTCCCCAGTCCCACACGCGGCCCCTCTCCCCGCCCCGCCCGGCGCCGGGCTCCCCTCAGCCGCCGGCGAGCCCCGGGCCGGGATCGGGGCCGGGATCAGGGTCAGGGTCGGGGTCGGGATCAGGGTCGGGGTCGGGGCCGGGGTTAGGTCGGGCCGGTCCCCCCGCTCACCCGCAGCCGCTCCGGCCCGCCCCGCCGGGCCATGCTGTGCCCGCACCTGCCGCGGGGGCGGCGGCGCCGCCCGGCCGAGCTCGGCTCGGCCCCGCCCCGGGCGGGACACGGCGGGACCGGGACCGGCCCCGGCCCCAGCCTCAGCCCCGGCCCCGGCCCCGGGAGGGACGCGGCGGGACCGGCCCCAGCCTCAGCCCCAGCCTCAGCCCCGGCCCCGGGCGGGACACGGCGGGACGAGGCTGCTCCGGACACGGTGAGTGCGCGGAGAGGTCCCGGGCTGGGCTGCGGGGCTGCCCCGACCACAGGGACACGGATTGTTCCCAAACCCTTCCCAGGGGCTGCGCCCGCCTTGCCCCTGCCAGGCTGCCCCATATCGCATCTGTGGGGCTGCCCCAGCGCGGGGACCCGGCATGCCCCCATCGACACCCCACAGGGCCACCCCCATCACAGGGAGCCAGGATGGCCCCATTGAGCCCCATTGGGCCACCCCATCCACAGGGAGCCAGGATGGCCCCATTGAGCCCCATTGGGCCACCCCATCCACAGGGAGCCAGGATGCCCCCAGCGATCCCCCGTGGGGACACTGCCAGCACAGGGACCTGCGCCGCTCTCACAGGGTCACCCCCAGCTGTAGGGGCCAGGATGTCCTCCTGTCCTCCACAGAGATGGTCAAACACCCTCCTCGAGGGGTGGTAAGGATGGGGGGAGCTCTGCTGGGGTCCCCGTGCCCACTGCTGTGGCTGTTGTCATTCCCTATCCATGGAAAGGATTTCACGGCAGAGCCTGGACAGGTGGAGGCAGTAGCATGGGTTATTTTTTGAAAGCCATTTAGTAAAAAATGTGTTTGATTTCTGTCAAGTGGTACATTTAAGGCAGAAGGGAGCATAAGGAGATCCTCTAGCATGAAACTCAGTCTGCTGGAGGTGAGACTTCGTGTCCAGTTGCTGCTGGATCCCCGTGTTATTGGAACTTTGTGGTGGAGCAGGTGGATGATAAACGTGTTGGGATGCAGACAGCAAAACCTTGGATGAACATCCTGCCTGAGAACTCCTCTCACTCAGGGTTCAGAAAATGCTCTTTCTTGAAGTGGGGAAGAGGCAGGAGAGCCCAGTGAGACACAGGACAGAGCTCCAACCTTCCCTGTAGCCTCCTGGGGCCACCAGCAGCTTCTCTGTCCTCCCTCGGAGCTCATGTGCAGGTAGGGACTGCATTAACCACAGGAGTGGGGAAACTAACTGGGAAACAGGAACATGGTAATTAAAAATCAGAATTTACATCTTGGCTTTTCCTAGAATCTTGTTTTGCAGGAGAAACAATGTCCAGACTTCTCCCTTGTCAAAGAAAAATCACATCCCTCGTGTACTGAAACAATCAGGGGCTGATTGAAAGGAGTAAATTGCCAAATTGTCACAGCCCCTCAGCCATGAGATTGATCATTCTTCACATCTTTGGGACATGCAAACTCATGGATAGAGCAGGTGGCGATTAACTGGGTATTACTAATTGCTAATCACAAGGGCTGTCAGGGTAAAATTAGAAAGGGAATTGTTTTGTAGAAACCCAGCCCCTCTTGCTCAGTGCTTCCAGGATTTGGTTTTCCAGTTTCTGTGGGCAGAGCCTTCAAGCAGGTTTTTTCACTGCTGGAAAAGGTGGGGGGGGGGCTGTGTTCCTGAATTTTATTAGCTAAGTACTACAGCCCCAGAAGATGGGAATGCCAACATACACATAGTGCAGGGCAAATCCAATTAGTGTGCCTTGAGCTTAGCAGCAGCCAGTTATTGTCTGTGACAATTCACTGTCACTGAGACTGGTTTGTGCTCAGTCTGTGACCTGTGAGGACATGAGGGAGAGAATCTGAGCCCTGCTCTGCCAGAGGCTCCTCACCTGGATATATGGAAGTCAAGACCAGATACTGGAGTGAGAGGAAGATGTAAAGCACTAGAAGAACAACAGGCAGCAGCTCCTTCTCTGGTGTGGCCTCACCAAGCCTGGGTGTTTTTAAGCTCAGCATGAGGTTCCAATAACCTCACCCTGCTGCTGGCTCTGCTCTAAGCCAAAGATTTGGCTCAGGACCTCCTGATATCCCCTCTTCTGAGGTTTTCCTGTTATTCTAAATGACGTTGGGATGTAAATAATGTGTTACCAGCACCTTACCCTGTATATGTAAGAGGCAGAAACCCCTCTGAATCCCTGGTGATGCTGTGTCCCCTCACCCACAGGTCGTGTCCCTGCAGCAGGTGCCTGAGGTGCTGATGTGACACCCCTGCTCGTTGGAGGGCTATGGGGAAACTGCAGAGTAAACTCAGCTTCCACACCACCAAATATGGGTAAAGCAACGCTGGGTGATCGTGTCTTGTTAATAAACCAGGTGGGAGAGTGAACAGAGAACACAAATGACCAGAGAACAGAGCAAGCACGTGGTTTCAGTTTCATTACTGAATGTGTGAATCGGGTTTTCACTTTTGACTCTCACTCCTAAAGCCTGCTCAGCTTCTTTGGGGGGCTGAAGTCACAAGTGTCACTCACAGGAGTGGCTGTGCCCTGTGATGGCTGAGGCAGAGCTCTGAAGGGAACAGCTCCAGGAACAGTTCTTTGGCCCAAATATCCAAACTGCTTCGCTGTCTCTTCAGAGACTGTCATTGCTTTTGTTGGCAAGGTGAGATAATTCGGTGTCTGGCAGCAAGGGGGGGAATCTGTGCCTGGAGAGCAGGGGGGGGCACAGAGGGGGGCACAGAGCTGGGGGGCACTCGCTCTGTGTGGCCAGGGAGGTGTCACAGCAAAGAGCAGCTGAGCCTGACCCATGTGAGTGACAGTGGGGGTTGGTGAGATCAAAATCTCTTTTATTCTTTGCACCAGCACAGAGTGAGCAAACATACCAATATTTGGCAGCTCTAGAGGTGGGGTAGGTCTGTTCCATCTCACCTGGTTTGCTCACAGCCTCTCTCAGGCTGTCTAAGGCAGGATTGTCACATCAGATGGTGTCAGCAGTGCCATCTCCCAGACCTGGTGTCACAGGAATGGCACCCTGGCCTTGTCTCACACACCCTGCAGCTCCCACCCTGTCTGTCCGTGCTGCAGGGCCGATGGCTCCGTGGGACAGACAGGATCCATCCTGGGACAGACGGGATCCATCCTGGGACAGACGGGATCCATCGGCACCTCCCGGCGGCACAGCCCCGCTCACACCGACGCCGTCACCTCTGTGGCTGCTCTCAAACCAGACCTCTGTGTGTCAGGGGGCAGGGATAAGGTGAGGTACCCTCTGCCATGGCCCATGGGCGGGAAAACACGTCAACAGGTTTGAAAATAAGATTTAAATGTGAGCTTTGAACATTTCCTTGAAGTGTTCAACTGTTCTGTGAACATTCTGGGAGAGTAACAACTTTGTCAGTTCCTGAATTTAGAAAGAAAAGATGAGCCTGGAGTGAGGACGCACACTGAAGCACATGGAATCAAATTTTGTAACCTTTCCTGAGCTCAGATCACATCAAGTGGTCTCACCTAGGCTTGGAATCACTGGTCCTTATGTTACCTGGCTCTACAGACAGCTGTATCTGCTGCGGGAGCTCAAACCAGAGGAACTTGTTCCCTCCCCTGTGGGCTGTGCACAGTGTGAAAGCCTCCCTGCCCTGTGTCCCTGCTGACCCTGCCCTGTCCCTGCAGAGTGTGGCTGTGTGCAGCTGGAGATCCGGGGCTGCCCTGCGGCGCTTCGTTGGCCACGAGCGGGAGGTCACCAAGGTGAGAGCTCCAGGGTCTCCTGTCAGCATTCCTGGGGAGCCAGGAATAATGGAGCACTGGTTTGGCATCACACAGGGCTCCCTTTGCTCCACTAGAAAGAGGGACCAGAGTATCCCTGGTGTCTAACTGGGGACAATCAGACTTGATGACTTAAAGGTCTTTTCCAACCTTAACGATTCATGATTCCCTGATCAGAACACATTAGGTCTTTCCCAAGGTCCCAGCTGATCCTCTGCTGTCCAGGGAAGCAGCAAGAAGTGCATCCAGACTAAACAGGGCTGCAGGAGGCCTGTCTTCCCCTCCAGCAGACTGTGTAGCAAAGGTTAAGGATGAGTTATGGGATCAAGTTTTTGATTTGGAGACGCTGTTCACTTTTCTTCAGGTCTCGTTCTGCTGGACTTGTTATTCCACAGTCAGCCAATCCTGGGAACAGCAGGGCTTTAATTTCCCTTCTGGGACTGTGATGACAAAGCCCAGCACTCTCCTCAGATAGCAGACATCCAGGGGTGTGTATGTGTGTGCACTTCGACCAGGGACAGCCCCAGAGGGTCCCTTGGGTTGGGATACTGGAGGGACAGAGGAGGCTTCATTCACCCCAGTGCTCAAGGCAGCCAAGCACTGGGCTCATTTGGGTTTGTAAGGAAGCTTTTCCTATAAAATGAATGGTTTGGGAGACCAAGAGAGCACCCATCCACCATCCCACTCCCTGGCTCTGGGGAGATGTGGGACAGAGTTTGAAGGTCAGGCTCTCCCCTGGCACATTCCTGCGTGTTTTGGGCTGTGATAGGACAGCAGATGTCATGTTCTCCCTGAGCAGAACTGGGCTGGCTGGTGGGATAACCAGCTTCTCCCTCTTGTCGTTGGCAGGTCACCTCTGCCCTTGACTCCAGCAGAGTCTTCAGTGCATCCCGGGACAAGACAGTGATGATGTGGGAGCTTCACGGGGCGTCGGGGCCAAGCCAGCACTTCCCAGGACATGAGCTGGTCGTGACTGGGCTGGCTGTGAGCCCAGGTGAGGGACAGCACACCCCCAGTCCCCAGGGATTGACTGACAACGCTTCTTGACCTGGGTTTGCTGTTCCCTTGTGGTTGCAGATGCCTCCCAGCTGTGCACAGGCTCACGAGACAACACCGTGTGCAAGTGGGACACAGAGACTGGGGAGTGTCTGGCCAGGGCCACCATCTCCAGGAATCTGGTAGGAGCTGCTGCTTCCTCCCATCCCATCCTGGCACCTCACTGCCTACGTGGTTCTTTCACACGAGGCTGTGTAGAGGGAATTTGCTGAGCTTGGTGCCAAAGGGAGCCCTGGAGGCTCTGCCCAGGCTGCCTTGACAACAAGTCCAGGAGCACAAAGGTACCAAGAGATATATGCCAGTTTATTAATGCTCTGACTCTGAGCTGTCAGGAAGCACCCAGAATCATGGAATCACTGAGGCTGGAAAAGCCCCCTAAGACCATCGAGTCCCACCATTCCCCCAGCACTGCCAAGGTCACCCATAACCCATGTCCCCAAGTGCCACATCCACACATTTTTTAAATCCCTCCAGGGATGGGGACTCCACCAGTGCCCTGGGCAGCTGTGCCAGTGTCTGACCACCCTTTTAGTGAAGAAATTTTCCCTGATATCCAAACTAAACCTCCCCCCTGATATCCAAACTAAACCTCCCCTGGCACAACTTGAGGCCATTTCCTCTCACCCTGTCCCTTGTTCCCTGGGAGCAGAGCCTGACCCCCCCCGGCTCCCCCCTCCTGTCAGGGAGTTCCAGAGAGTGAGAAGGTCCCCCCTGAGCCTCCTTTTCTTCAGGCTGAGCCCCCCCAGCTCCCACACTCTGCATTCCCTCCTGTACCAGCCCAGCAGTGGAGCTGTTGTGGACACCATCCCCTGGTGCCCATGGTATCCCTGTTCCCTGTGTCCTGGTGACCTGCTGGCACCTCCCTGCCTGAAACACGTCCAGGGACTGGGCCCAGGAGGGGAGCAGGAAACACCTTCATCCAACATTCCCAGCTCCCAACCCAGCATGAGGAGGGAGAGGGTGGGAGCTCAGTGGCTGTGCATCCACAGCAGACGCAGCCTGGGCTGCACACAGAGGTGGCTTCTGCTCATCCTTCCCTGTCCACAGGTCACACACCTGTGCTGGGTTCCTGGGGAGCCTTATGTCATCCAGACCTCGGAGGATAAAACAACCAGGTAAGTCCTACATGTGGCCACAGAGAAGGGAGTGTCAGCCTGGGGCAGGTGGGGTGTAGGGAAGATGCCAGTGCACAAGGGGCTGTTCCTTGGTGGTTGTCATGACCAGCTGCTGGTGTGGCCAGAAGCCACTTTCCAGCTCACCTGGGCCTTGGAGCACAGTGCCAGGGGAGGACAGCCAGGGGCACTGGGGCTGTGAGCAGCACTGGGTGGTGACTGCAGGTGAAAAGGAGAGTTTGTGGAACAGAAAGCTCAGCTCAGCTGCTCTGGCTGGAGAGTGCTCCAGGATGGATAACTGCAGGGGCAGATCTGGGAGGCAGGAGGGGGCTGCCCCAGGAGGGGTGGCAGAAGGGCAGAGCGGGAGGGCACGGAGGGAAGCCTATCGTGGAGATGATGCCTCAGAGTGCCCTTCCCTGCTCCTGTTCCCCCCAGGATCTGGGACAGCCGGGAGCTGCAGGTGGCACACACGTTCCCAGCCAAGCAGCACATCCAGACGTGCTGTGACGTGAGCCAGGACGGGCGGTACTGCCTCAGCAGCAGCCAGGGTGGAGAGGCCACCGTGAGTGTGCTGGGGCCCTGCTCCTTCCTCCAGTGCCCACGGGGCACAGCAGAGAGCAGCACAGCAGTGCTCCAGGGATCTGAGTCCTCCCACTGCACTGGATTTGTGCTGGTGTCACCAGCCAGCGCCAGAGCTTAGTGTCTTCCTGCCTGTCCCTTTGGAAAGTTCTGCTCAGGGAGTGTCAGAGAATATGTTCCTGATTAAAGCACTGGGATTTTCCCCATCCCTGGAGATGTTCAAGGCCAGGCTGGATGAGGCTTGGAGCAACCTGGTCTAGTGGAAGGTGTCCCTGCCCATGGCAGGGGGATGGAACTAGTTGATTTTTAATGTCCCTCCCAACCCAAACCAGTCTGGGATTTTATTTCAGTAAAACACACAGGGGAAAAAACAACAGAAGGCATCAAGGACCATGAGGTTCTTGCAGAAAGCCTGTAAGGGCCCCTGTGCTCCAGGTGTTTCCAAACCAGAGATTCAGCTTTCACAATAGCTCATTATTCTGTGGTGCTGCTGAGCAACGTTTGCCTTTCTCCTCTGTGCCCTAGGGAATCTTTCCCAGATCCACATTTTCCCCTCTGAAAATACAAGGCCTTGAAAGCAGGAACACGGTAAAGTCACTTGAAGAAAAGGAGAAAAACCACAGTGTTCAGTGATTAGGGAGGTCCAGTCAGTGTGAACCAATTTTGGAGTTTCCTTGGCTGCCTCACAACACAAGCAGGGCTGTGCCAGTGTCTGAGTGACCCCAAACCTGGTTAGAGCATTTAGCCACACTGGGGTTCAGAGCTGGCATTCTGTGTCTCTTAGACAGAACTGAGCTTAGAATTGGCAGGTTCTCAGCCCTGTGTGTGAGGATCAAGAGGATGAGAGCATCCCATCCCTCCCCATCCTATCTCATCCCCCCCCCCTCCCATCCCCTCCCCCCCCATCCCCCTTCCCCCCCCCCATCCCATCCCATCCCATCCCATCCCATCCCATCCCATCCCTCCCAGGAAGGGCAGGGCTGAGGATGGGACCAGGCTGGAGCCTTGTTACCTGCCTGCACAGCCTTGGCTCTGTGTGCTCAAATAGTCATCGATGGTGAAAATCCTTTGGGATTTGACATTCCCCAGGACTGTGAGCAGGAGCAGGGACAAAGGCAATGGGCATTGAGGATTGGCAAGGAGCAATTTACCCAACCCCCTCTTCCCTCTGTAAATCGGCTCCCTGCCAGCCCCTGACAGTGTCAGACCGGGCTCTAAGCTCTCCTGTTCCCTTGCAGCTGTGGGACCTGCGGCAGACCCGGGGCCGGGTGTGTGAGTACAGGGGGCATTTCCAGACCACCACCTCGTGTGTTTTCCTCCCCCGGGGCCCAGCCCTCGCCCCCAGCGTCGCCACATCCTCCAGCGACAGCACAGTGAAGGTCTGGCACCGGGACACGGCAGGTAGGGGGGGCTCCTGCCCATCCTCGGTGCTCTGGGAGAACAAAACTGCTTCCTTTGTGTCTGTCTCCCGGTGGTGATGGGCGGGATGAAGCCTGAAATCTCTGGCATTTTTTCCATTCCAGCTGCAGGGCAGGGTGGAGACATCCCCCAGAGCAAAGCCAGGGGCTTCTGCTTGCCCTGCAGAGGAGGAGGTGGGTTGGGTGCATGTCAGAGGTGACAAGTGTCCTTCCTAAACTAAAAGGAAGAATTATGAGATAGTTTTTAAAGATACATCCAAGTTCAGCAATGAACAAATGATAAAAATAAAAAAGAACCCCAGAGCATTTCAGAGATCCCACTGAAGAGTTGTAAGGAATGGTTGTGCTGGAGGACAGAGGGCTGCTCAGCCACTGCCCTCACTTTGGGTGCCCCCTTGAAGGGGACTTGTGGGGTTAAAGCTGGTGCTGAGGGCTGAGTCCTCCCCGGAGCTGCACAAAGGCTGTTTACCTGCCAGGCCCTGCCATAGCAGCAGGCTCTTGGTAACCCTTGTGCAGCAGCAGAGACCTCTTGGGAAGCTGTTCAGGTTGAGAGCCCTGCATGGAATGCAGTCCAAGGCACCAGCATGAGACACTCCCCAGGGTTAAGCCCCTCTCCAAGTGCACTTCTTTAAGATGGGTTGAAAATAGAAACCTGAGGATCTCCCACAGAGAGGGACCTGCTGTTTCCCTTCCCTGTTCGTGTGCCCTTGTGCCTGTGCATGCCAAGGTGCAGCTTTGATCCTCTTGCCTTCCCAGCTGGGTGACTGTGATCCAGCTGCTCTTGGAAGGGTGCAGGTCACCACGAGGCAGCTGCTTGTAGGTCTGTGCCAAGGGCAGCTCCTCTGACAACTCAGCGTGGGGCTGTGTCTGCACAAACTCTGCCTTGGGGGGGTTAATAACGCACAGAAGGGCTGATGTGGTGCTGGATATTGTCAGTCTGATTTCTCTTCCTTTTTTGGAGGCTCATCAAAACTGTGTGAGTGTAATGCAGCCTTTAGGAAAACATATTCTGGACTGGAAGACATTTGGGAGGAAAAGGCGTGTTGGGAATGGCTCCAGGCAAGCCCTGCAGCCTGCCCAGGGGGGTCTGTCTGTCCACCCAGCCCTGCTTCCTCTCCAGGGAAGGGGCAGAGCCTGACCCCATTCTGGATCCCTGTCAGCCAGTCAGTGCCCAGATCAGTGCTCAGATCCCCTGGGGGCTGTACAGAAGGGAGGGTCTCTCTTCCAGAGGGCACATCCCGGTGCCTTTGGATGTGTGGACCCGGGAGAGCGAGGGGAGCAGCTCAGGAGGGCGGAGCTGGGAGGTCGGCGTGGTGCTGCCTCATCTCGGTGTCCCTCTGTTCCCTCCCCAGCCTGCCTGGCCACGCTGTCCCTGGAGGGCTCTGGCCCGCTGGCCTCGCTGGCCGCCTGCGACAGCTCCACCCTGCTCTGTGCCAGCGCCAGCTCCGGCATCCACGTGCTGCGTGTGGGCGGCGGCGAGCCCGCCCTGCGGGAGCTGGCAGCGTTCTGAGCCAGGGACCCCCACAGACCCAGGGACCCCCACACAGACCCAGGAACCACGACACAGACCCAGGGACCCCCACACAGACCCAGGAACCATGACACAGACCCAGGGACCACGACACAGACCCAGGGACCTCGACACAGACCCAGGAACCACGACACAGACCCAGGAACCACGACACAGACCCAGGAACCACAACACAGACTGGCCCCTGAGGGGATGGGACCCCCAGAGCCTCCCCTGCCCACGGGCACAGGGACCATGTGCCCGAGCAGCAGGGCAGGGGGACTCCCTGGGTGGTTTGTGGGGAGCTGTCCAGGAGAAAAGCCAAACCCTGGATGCACGAGGCATTCTCCTTACAAACCCTCCCTGCAGTGCAGGATGGGGCAGAGGGAGCAGACAAGCTGTGAGGAGCCAAGGGGGACACACTGTAGCACTTTAACTGATGTCCAGGCTTGGACCAGAGGAGACTGTAATTAAATATTCTTCTGTGTTACTTGCTGGCCTCTCGTCCTATATATTTTCCCTGGGAGGCACCAAGAGCTGGCACATGGCACACACCACTGTGGTGCTTGGAAGGGAGGAGAAAGCCCTCAACACTCTGCTTGAGGAAAAGTAACTTAGGAGTGGGTTTGGGATTTGTTTTTTTCGTAACACACCATCTCCAACTACACTGGGAACATTGCATTGGGAACAGAACTGTGCTCACCTTCCCAGGGACCATGGACAGCTGCTCTCCAGCTGAAAACTGGGAGAGGAAACTCTTTTCTCATGAAGGTTTTCATAGAACCACAGAATATCCTCAACTGGAGGGACCCACCAGGACCATCCAGCCCAGCTCCTGGCCCTGCACAGACACCCCAACAATCCCACCCTGTCCCTCAGAGCATTGTCCAAACCCTCCTGGAGCTCTGGCAGCCTTGGGGCTGTGCCCACTGCCCTGGGGAGCCTGGTCAGTGCCAACCACCCTCTGAGGGAAGAACCTTTTCCTGAGATCCAACCTGACCCTGCCCTGACACAGTTCCAGCCGTTCCCTGGGTCCTGTCCCTGCTCACAGGGTGCAGAGATCAGAGCTGCCCCCCATGAGGAACCTGCAGACCCCTGAGGTCTCCCCTCAGCCTCCCCTTCTCCAGGTTGAACAAACCCCATGTCCTCACCTCTCCTCAGCTCTTTTTTACAACAGCAGACAGGAATCAAACTGTGTTTTGTGAAATTCCTGTAATTTCTCCATTCCTTAAGTCAGAGCCAGAGCCCAGGATGCACATCCAAAACGTGTTTTGATTTTCCAGGACAAAACATTTGCAAACCCTCAATTTAAAGAACAAACAAGAAGTAGGAAAGCTCCTCACAGGGTAAGGTAGAACAAGACAATCCTACACTGAATGACCTTTGTATCACCTCGGGTGAGACACAGCAGAACCGAAACAGGAAATGCCCACAGGGATTTGCAACTCCCAGTCCATGGGACAGCCCAAGGAGTGGGACACGGGAAAGAAAAACCTCCCTGGCCTTGGGGGGCATTTTTCACTCATATCCTGTGAGTGAATCCAAGGGGATGCAGATCTCCATCCAGGGACACCACCTCCCCCTCTGACAGCTCCTCTGCCTGTCCCTAAATGCAACTCCAGTCTGCAGGCAGACTGTACCAAAGGCTCAGGAACAGCAAGGTCAGAAGGGCAGGAACAGAGGCTGCACCACACACCAACCCTGAGGTGCTCTGTGGGGACTGCAAATGTTTAACACAGGCTGGAGGACACCTGTGTGTCCTCCACCTGGGAGCCTGGCTCGGGAGGGAGGGGGGCAGCAGATGGATCATCTCCAAGTTACAGCAGGAAGTGGTGTCTGCACTATAAAACCAGTCCTAAAAGTGGGAAAACATCACCCAAGAGCTGACTCCAACCAAGCCCTGGCCAACACTGGTGCTTCAAACACACCTGACCCCCAGAGCAGCTGTGACTGCAGCTGCTGGACACATGTTGGAACTGCTGATTCCTGTTTTTTAATATAAAAAAGCAATTGAAAACCATTAACCCAGTTCATAACCAGCCCTTCTGAGCTACTCTGCTGTCCACAGCTTGAAGGTTCTGTCGTAGGAGCAGGTGGCAATGAGCTGCCCATCCAGGGAGATGTCCAGGCCCATCACCTTCCCCTCGTGCCCTGCCAGTGTCTTCAGAGGGGACCAGCCAGGGTGGGTCCAGATCTTGGCCGTGTTGTCGTAGGCGCCCGTGAGCAGGAAGTTCCCGTGGTTGGCTGCAGAGGAGGAGGAAAGGGGTTGCAAATAAAAACATGGCAAAGCTCAGCTCACCAGCACAGGCCCTTCTTGCCCTGCAGGTGTGGCTGGAGCTGCTCTGGAGGGGCAGGTATCAGGAACACCAGACACTGACGTTCAAACCTGACGCCGGTGACCAGGTTCTGGTGGGCAGGGATGGTGTAGATGCACTTCCTCTGCCGCAGGTCCCACACCTTGCAGGTGTTGTCACCGCTGCCCGTGGCCACGTGGTACCTGCCCGGGGGGAGGAAGGGCAGTTTTTGGGGAAGGGGGTTTGCACTCGGAGCTCCCACGTAAACCTCACCAGCTCCCTTCTTACCCGTTTGGGGAGAAGTTAATCCCGTAGATCTCCTTCAGGTGACCTTCCAGGAACATGATGCAGCGCCCTGTGCGCAGGTCCCACACCCGGCCAAAGGCATCCAGGCCACTGGAATCACAGTCACAGGATGGGGTGGGTTGGGAGGGACCTTAAAGATCATCTCATTCTACCCCCCTGCCATGGGCAGGGACACCTTCCACGATCCCAGGTTGCTCCAAGCCCCGTCCAACCTGGCCTTGGACACCTCCAGGGATGGGTCAGCCATGGGAATTCCATCCCAGTCCCTCACCACCCTCACAGGGAAGAATTTCTCCATGATATCCCATCCAACCCTGCCCTCTGGCAGTGGGAAGCCATTCCTCCAGCAGAAATCTCTGGTCAGCACCAAACCCTTGGTAACACGTCCCACCCAGCCCCAGTCCCAGCCCAACCCACCCGGTGCCGGCGAGGGAGCCGTCGGTGTGGAAGGCGATGTCATAGACCCCCTTGCTGTGCCCCTCCTGGTGCAGGATCTCCTCCTGGGCCTCCAGGTCCCACAGGCGCCACGAGTGATCGTAGCTGCAGAAACAAGGCAGTTGTCAGAAAAACCATGGAGGCACTAAGGTTGGAAAAGCCCTCCAAGATCATCAAGTCCAACCACTCCCCCAGCACTGCCGTGCTCAGCACTAACCCGTGTCCCCAGCTGCCACATCTCCGTGTTTTTGGGACACATCCAGTGGTGACTCCCCCACTGCCCTGGGCAGTTTGTGCCAGGGCTGGACAACCCTTTCCCTGAAGAAATTTTCCCCAGCATCCAACCTAAACCTCCCCTGGCACAACTCGAGGCCATTTCCTCTGGACTCCATGTATCTCCAAGGAGAATAAAGGATATTTCACTAACTCTGGGGGCATTTTATTTCCAGCTGGGCACCAACAGTGTCTCACACAGGGGCAGGGAAAGGAATCCCCGTGACCTGCTGTTACTGACACTGCAACAAGCCCAGCTGTGGTCAGGAATGGCCAAGCCCTGTCCGTGCCAGGCTCTGCTGTGGACGAGCCCTGGCACCACTGGGCCACCAGTGGGACAGCCCATGGTCATGCTGGAAGCAAATCCCCAAGTGTCCATACCAGGTGGTGCCCAGGAACCTCCCCGACGGGTGCCACATCACACGGGCCACTCTCATGCTGTGTCCTTCGATATCTGCCATGGGCTCATCACTGAAACACACAACAACCCCTTGGGCACTGGCCAGAGGTGCCAGGCCTTTGCAAACACATTGTGAGGCAGCAAAAGATCTGCTGATCAAATCAAACCAGACATGAACATCCCAGATGTGAAAACTCTGTAATTTGCCTTTGGTTCCCGCTCCTAAAGCTCTGAGTGGAACCCTCTATCCACTCCTCTTGGTTATAAAGTTCTCCTGGGATGATGATGGTGATTATTATTCTGGAAAATTAACAGTTCTCTTGTCATTAGCACTTTAGAAGTGCAGAAACAAACCACAGACTACCTGAGCTGCTGGGAGTTTACTGAGAACACACAGAACATCCCAAACTGCAGCAAATCCTGCTGTTCTGAGGGATTGCAGGGAGGTGGGATGGAGTGAACATTTATTCTCCCAAAATGAGAGGCAGCAGGTCAGGAGAGTTCAGCAGATGACCCAGACAGCAGTTAACTTTCTTTCCACTGGTTAATTAAGAGACATGATCACATGAGGCCAATGACCCCCTGTCCCTTTGCACAGGGCACTTCTGCTGCTAGAAATGGTGATTTTCAGCCAAGGATAAACAACTGGGAGTGTGGGAGCTGCCTGCCCTTCCTGGGTGCTCTGCACCTGATGCTGGGGCTCAGTACCTCCACCAGTCTCCTCCTCACAGGCCTGAGATGCTGCCCATCTGCCAAAACTACACTGTGCAGGGACAGCCACTGCTTTTCAGCACAGGTTGAAGCTTTTGTGCCTGGCTGTGTGTTTGGTCAGTCCCTCTCCAAACCCTGGTGCTTTCCAATCACTCAAAAGTTCATTTCTTAATATCTGGGAGAGGAAATTTTCTCCTCAAAGAAAGGTCAGAATGAAACAATCCCCAAGCCTCCCATCCATCCCCCCCCAGCAGTTCACCAAGCCCCAGCAGCAATTCTGACTCAATTCCTTTCAATCTCCCTCACCCTGACTCCCTAACCAGGGTGATCTCTCTTCCCAGGGAAGAGGTGGCACATACTGAGGCACTGGGATAGCCACAAGAAGAGTTCATATTTGCAGGAGGATGGTCAGTGTCTGATGTTCAGGAACACAGATAAACCCCAGAGTAGCAATGCTGCAGCTGTGCCTGCCTGGAATGGTTCTGACCTTTCCAGGTTCCAGAGTTTGACAGAGCCATCAGCAGCACACGAGGCCAGGCTGACATCCTTCTTGTCCAGGGACACGGTGGCTTTGGGGTGGAACACAACTGCTCCCACATTGGTGCTGTGTCCTGAAGGGAAAGGAAAACCAAAGTTCAGAATCTGCCCTGTGATCTTGGCTGGTTCTTCAGAAAAGCAGCATTTCCTTGTTACTGAGGAGTCAGGAGCCAGTGAACACTTTCCCTGTGTCCTCAATGCCCTGAAACCCCCAGTCACACCTCTCCTGCCAACAGCCAAACTGCACTTCCAGTAGCCCCAGGTCAGAGTATAAAACACTGAGGTTTGTAACACTCAAAGTGCAGTGAAAATTCAACATATGAATCAGGAGATTTGTGCTCATGTTTGTATTTAGTCCAAGTTGTGACCACTGCTCAAAGAACCTCACTGTTGTCAAGTGACCTGCCCACAACTGCTGGTGTTTATAACTCAAAAATCAAATCCAGGTTTTGAAACCAAACGAGAGTCTGTTCAGAATCAGAAACAGCAAACTCAGGGCTGAAGGTCTGAGCTAAACCCCAGCTCTCCCTCCTGATTATCTGACACATTCCCAGGCTCCCAAGCCCCAGTGATGCTCTCAGTAGGAAAGAAATCTGCCAAAATTGGATATTTTGAGTCACAAAGTAATTCAGATGTGGGAGCTCAGCCCAGAGAGGAACAAAAGCACCAAGCCAAGAGCCTCAGTGAGGGCTGCTCGTACCTCGCAAGGTGTGAACCAGGTTGCAGTCGGGCACAGACCAGAGCTTGCACAGCCCACTCCTGTGGAACACAAGGAATGGATGTCAGTGGAGACAGGAATGTCAAGGAACAGATGAAACAGAGCTGCAAAGCCACTCTGGGGGTTCTGCAGTGACTGAAACAGCAACACACTTTGGGCAACCAGCACAGAAACCAACAGGCTCAGACTGAAATCTCTGCTCAGCTCTAAAACAAAGAGACAAGAGCTCAGAATAGGAAATAAAAACATTTCTGGACTCTCACGATTCTCAAACCTCCAAGAACACCCCTGTCCTTCCCTCCTGTGCTCATCCAGCCCCTAAAGCAGTGCAGCCACAGAGATCTCACCAGCAGGCTGTGGCCAGGAGCTTCGAGTTGGGGCTGAAGTGGCAGTAGGACAGCGGGCGATCGTCCCCGATCTGGCTGCAGAAGTTATTGAGGGACTGTAAAAACACAAAGAAAACAATCAATGACTGGAGTACAGCCAGCCCAGAGCAAGGCCCAGCCAAAGCCAAAGCCTGAGGTGATGGAGCCAAATGTGTGCAGGAGGAGGCAGAGGCCCCTAGAAAATCACATTCCAAGGGAGGAGCTGCCTCGGAGCCGCTGCAGCTCCACAGGGGAGGGCCAGGGCCAGCCTGGCCCAGGGGAGCCAGCACAGCCTGGGGGCTCAGCTCAGCCCCCAGGGCCTCCCATGGTACCTGTCCCCACAGCCCCCAGCTCTGCAGCCCTGACACAGAACTGCCTGGAGTTTGGCCTCTTTCCACAACTCATCCAAGGAATCCAACCAGACAGATGGACAGGCAGTGCAGGGCACGGAGGGGAGAAGCAAATCCTCTGGCAGCTGATGGCTCTGGAGTAAACAGGATTAGGGGGGCAGCACACGCTGTGCCTGAGCCTCTGCTTGGTTAAGCTGGGAATCTGGCTTAGTGTGCTTGGAAAGGGCACCTGGGAGCCATCCCAGCCATGCTCTGCCCCACGGAGCTGGGTGTCATCTCCAGGGTTTTATGTCCCTTCCCAGCCAGCCAAACCCAGCCAAAGCCAGGAATACATTCCTTTAGCTTCACAGCCAAGTAGCAAGGCAAGGCAGGGATGTCTCTGATCCCTCTGCCACACAGAGGGACAAAATCCATCTCCCTGGATCACTGTGCAGGAGTCAGAACGTGCTTTACACAGACACAGGAGAGAGGAAAAGCGGAGCCTCCCAACAGTTCAGAGACCAGGGTGCACCTGGGGCAGCTCAGTTCCTGCTGAGCTCTCTGCAGGATCACAGCAGGGGGGCAGTGCCCAACATACCCGCAGGGATTTGTGCAGCTCCTGCCTCTGGGATGTCCTGGTGGCCTCGGGAATCTCCTTGAGCAGCCGGGCCTCCTCCAGCCGCTTCGCTGCCCTGGGAACAGCACAGGGGAGGGATGAGCCCCTTCCCTGCATTCCCCTTTCCCTGCATTCCCCCTTCCCTGCTCTGCAAACAGGCCCTGCCCTCCTCCTCCTCCTCTCCCAGGCTGGGCTAATGCTGGATCAGTCCCTGAGAGTTCAAGCTCTGGGCTCTCTGGAGTTGCTTCCCAGTGTGTGCTCCCCACTCCCTGGCTTTCCAGTGGTACCCACAGTGGGATCAGCCCTTGGAGCTGACAAATGGCTGCACATCCCTCCTCATTTGTGCAGTTCCCTCTCACCTGGGCAGGGAGTAGTTTGCCAGCCACAGCCTGGCTGTTTTCAGACTCCGTGGGCCCTCGTGGTACCAGGTTTGCTGATACTGTAAAAACAGGAATAAAAGTGATGGAAAAGCTCCTCCACTCACTCCCCTCAGCTGCCTCCTCACAGCACCTGCTCCCAAACCCTGCTGGGCTCTGGTCCCTTTTTAAGGCCATTATGCATCAGTATAAGCTCCAGAAAAAGGGATTAAGAGAGATAAACCACAGCCTCTGCCCTATGGATCCGATCCTGACACACTGCCAGGAACATTCCAACTGAACACTGATTGGGTTGGACTTACTGACACATAACTCCTGTTTTACACATCACCCAGTAAAGAGAGAGCCCAGAGCTGTAGAAATTATTTCTCAAAGCACAGCTCAAAAATAATAAGGAAAAATGGACTCAGAAGAGAGACAGAGGCAGAAAGAACAATCAGAGGTAGAAAGAGATGCAGCAATAGGAACATATTTTTTTCTTCCCAAGTTTGAAGACAACCAAGAATAAAGAACTTGCTATAGTGAGTGAGAGCCCAAACACCTGCTCTCCTGGTTTGCACACTGAGTGCAGCTCAGAACTTGGCCTGGGAGTGCAAACCACACTTGGTGCTCCTCAATGAGACCAAACATTGCCACAGGTCTGCTAAAAGGGAGAACACAAGAAAGGCCTGAAGGGATGACATGAGAATCGACACACTGACCAAAATCAGGAGGCCTGGACCTACCAGAGACCAGATCTCTCCCTCAACTCTGAGAGGACAGGAGACCCCCTCACCTCTTCTTTGGACTTTTTTGACCTGTCATCATCTTTCCTGGTCTTCTTTAATGCGTCTGTGCCGACCACTGAGAGGATGTTTCTCAGCCTGGGAAGAAACACATGAAGTTGGATTTAGTCAGTGATTCCTCAGCTCAGCTGACAAATCATCAGTGAGACCTTCCTTCTGCCTTGGGGTTCTTAGAACAGAGTAACAGGCTGGTTTGGCTTGGGAGGGACCTTAAAGCTCATCCCATTCACCCCCAGCCATGGGCAGGGACACCTTCCCCTATCCCAGGTTGCTCCAAGCCCCATCCAGCCTGGCCTTGGACACTTCCAGGGATGGGGCAGCCACAGCTTCTCTGGGCAACCTGTGCCAGGGCCTCCCCACCCTCACAGGGAACAATTCCTTCTTCCCAATATCCCATCTAACCCTGCCCTCTGGTAGTGGGAAGCCATTTTCCCTTGTCCTGTCCCAAGTCCCTCTCTAGCTCTCTTGCAGCCCCTTCAGGCACTGAAGGGGTTTCCCTGGATCCTTCTCCTCCCCGGGCTGAACACCCCCAGCTCTCCCAGGGGAACAGCAGGAACGTGGTAGCCACAGAGTGCCCCCCAGCAGACACAGCACCTCTCCCTGCGCTCTGCAGGCCCCTCTCCAAAGAGGGTGATGGGCTCCCCCAGGGCCCTCAGGCAGGCCTTGACCTCGGCGTCGTCCGTGGACACGTTGATCTGCCGCGCGCGCTTCCGCCGCTCGAACTCCGCCAGCACCTCGGCCTGGCGCTCGCTCAGGTGATCCTCCAGGTCAAACACCTCCCCTGGCACAGAGAAAATGCAGCTGGGCACAGGGGGACACCAGGGAGACACCAGGGAGACACCAGGGAGACACCAGGGAGCACAGGGAGCACAGGATAACAATCACAGGGCAGCCACCAGGGAGCACAGGGAGACAGCAGAGAGCACAGGGAACCATCAGGGAGCACAGAGGAGCCACCAGTGAGCCAGCAGGGAACACAGGGAGACACCAGGGATCACACAGAGCCAC